CCAAAAAATAGTATGATCTATTGTTATTTTCTTTTAGTTTAATAATGAGTAGGATCTGAATCTCTAATGTTTAGTCGATGATTTGTGTCTTAATTAATCGAGCTACTCTAAATTGTCTAAAAAGATCGTTTTTATTATGTGTTTAGCCATAACTATGATAAAGGAATAAGAATTTTTTTTAAAGATTACATGATTATAAAATCTACCCTTTGATCAGATGCCTGTGAAGTAAAAAACTTGTAAATCTATAGAGAGAATAAAAATATAAAATTGATATCAAAATCATGGTGTAATTAAAGATTAATGAAAAATAAATTTAATTATGAAAATTTATATTAAAACTAAAATATTTAGTAGCTTTTAACCCACGGAGATGATCTAACATACTTAACTGATCAAAACATTAATAACATTTTCGAATTTGGACGGTCTTCGTTTCGCTATATCTTGTTGAATATAAGAAAACAAGTTAATGATTATTTGAACGTATTCATTTGACAAATTTAACCGAATTTATTTGTCATAAATACAGTTAATTGGCACATCAAAGAGTTTGGACAAAAGGGTCCAAGCGGTGGAAAACGAAAGCTCTGACACAGAGAAATCAAAGACTACAAAGAGCAACAGAAGAAGACTTGGGAGCAAAATCCAAAGCTTCTCGCCGTCGACGCCACCGCCAACGGCGGCGATTCACAGAACCGCCAAGAGAAGGAAGGGAACTCCACACAGGTCTCCGATGGGAGGACTCCTATTAGAATTCTAAATATTTATTTTTTTTTTTTAAAAAAAAGAAAGCATTAAATTAAAATACTTAAAATGACGAAAATACCCCCCTACAGCCACCGACACAGAAACCCAGATTATTTCTATCATTGCAGCATCTGAGCCTTCGGTGTTTGGCCTCCAACGGTCAACGGAGGCCGTTGCTGTGAAAGTTACAGCTCTGTGATGTAGAGTGCATAAAAAAAAAATATATATATATATTTTTATTGTAATTTAATAATTGAACACAAATTAAATTAAGAGAGAAAAATAGAGGTGGGCAAAATAAAAGAATAATGATATGGTTGTGTATAGTCAATGTTAAATGTTTATCTTATTTGAAAGAATTTAATTGAAATAATTAAAGTAGCATTACATTTAAATTATTTTCTTTAGCCATTTATATTTTTCTTTGTGCTAAATTAACTCACATTTATCTAATAAACATGTTTAAAATTTAAAACATAATTATTTCTTTTTAATTTAAACTCCGTTCCCTAATCATTTTGTTTTTTTGTTTTTTTCTTTTTTCACTTAAATTTTCAAAAAATTAAGTTAAGTTTTGAAAATTAAAAAAAAAATAAATAATTTGATTGCAATCGAAATGTTTTGGAAACCCATTATAGAGAAATAATTAAAAATGATAAGAAAATGGATACAATTTTAAAAATAAATTGCAGGATAATAAAACCAATTGAGGCTTAGTTTAAGATTGTTTTATGTATTAATAAAGTGAAATTAAATGGTACTATTTTCTCTTATTTTAATTAATAAATATGAGAAATGAGAAAGCAAGTGGATGGATATGAATGCTTTGTAGATGTGACACGTGATATGTCGTCATAACATACAAACTCAACCGGTAAATACCGGTATTAATAAAAGGGAGAAAAAGACATTTATCAACCACAAAAGTGACCTGCTAAAACAGTAGCCTGTTTATTCTTTTTTCTTTCTATTATATACTCAATTATTATTATTATTATTATTATTATTATTATTATTATTATTATTATTATTATTGTACTTTCCAAACTCATAAATGTGAAACCAACTTTGGCCCAATTTTCGTGGATCTTGTGTGAACTTATTCTTAATGTTGAAAATTAAAATAAAGTTGTATTAATAGCGTGTTGAAATTGAAGAGAGATTTAAAAATGTTCGTAACCCAATTCAAACCGAACGGTTTGAGTTAGGTTGATTGGATTTTTTCAGATCATTGAATTTTTTAAATACTCTAACAATTCATTTAATGATGAAAGTGTTGAAACACTCTAGAAGTTGAATGCTAAAAGAAACTTTCGTCTGTTGCAAGTTGCATGCGAAGTACCACATATTCAATAGGGTTCTATCATGTTTATGATAGCTTGGCCACATGTGTAGGGCACCTCACACGTCTTATCCCGGGGAACCCCATGGACAACGAGCATAATAGAACTCAAGTGGATTTTGAAGAAGAAATAGTGTTTGAGGTTCAAATCTTTACCAACTTTATTTTATCTAAAAAAAACTTCAAATAAAATAATTAAGTAGAATTTGACGTTTGGCTATTACATTAAGAAAAGTAAAATTTATGGTCTATCTCATTTTTAATTTTAATTTTATCGTCCATTTAAAATAACATTTGGGCAAAGAGCGAGACCTGATTGTGGCCTCCCTAACATTTGGTCTCGCTCTTTGCGGTCGATCGTGCCTCTTCCACCTTCTACGATCACGCACTCGATTGGACCATTAATGAAAAAGAATGTGGTAAAATAAGATGAGATGCGTGTTTTTTATGTTTTAGGATGATTTATGAGGAAAAATTGAAGGGAAATCAAAGGATTTTTGTGAAGATTTGGAGGGAGTTTGTGAGAACTAATTAAGGGTTTTGGTTCATAGACAATTGTGGAGACAATTTTGGAGAAGAACCACGGTAGATATCGATTAAACTCGTCGGAGTATGAAGTCAGTTTTTGCCTTAAAAGTATGAAAAAAAAAAAACTTATCTAGTCAAAGTATCTTTTGGAAAGTTGAATGATTCTTCTTGATTCTTATTTCATTACATTCGTCTCCATGAGTACATAACAAAAACAAAAAAAAGTTGTCTCTAATAGATAAGACGTCTGGAGCTGAAGACATGTGTAAGTGTAGAGATGAACTGACTTGGTTGGACTAATCCATTTAGACCGATTTATCCTAGTTTGGCCAGTTTCACCTTTTTATCGTTTTTCAAACTAAATTAAAATGTACTAATATTTCATATGATTTTAGGATCTAACTTATAAGTAGCTAACTAAAACTTTTGTTTAGGGTGGCACCCTAATAACTACAAGGTCACTCCTTGCACCATATGTGCGTTGATTAGGATAGTTTCTTAATAGTCGAAAGGTTACTCCTTGAATATAACGATATAACAAAAGGATAAAAGGTAATAGTAGTCTTAAGATACTATCTCGACCAAGAACGATTTTGGTACATGCAAGAAGGCAGTAGCCTTCATATATTGAATATTTAAATATTCGTGTTTCCAACTTTTTTTTTTTTTTTTTTCAAGTGAAGTCTGACTTCATATGGTTTGTAGCGGACATAATACAAGTTCAAGACTATGGAACAACCCTGAATTAGAGTGACGAAAAAGTTTTAGTTTGAAAACTTTGAGTATTATTTGAGAAAGATTATGTGATTTAATGTTATTTATTTATTGATGTTTACAAATTCATCTGTTAAATTCTTAATTTTTGTATTTTGTTTATAGCTACGACTCATTTTTTAAGTGTAAAATGGTAGGTCATCATACTCTAGTTCTTCCAATCACATCTTTGAGTTTGCATATTAATTGGGTAGTGAAATTAGTTATAATGGTTCAATCAATTTGGTTCTACCCGATTCAGTTCGATTCATCTAGTTCAGTTCGATTCATCTATTCTAACTAGTATTGATTTGGGGTGTTTCTAGGAAATGAACACAAAATTTGTGAGCCAATAAGGGACGGGTGAAAGAGACTTTTGATTGCAGATTTTTGTAATTTATGTAAGTAGGACGACTTTAAGCATAGATTAGTTGTATCTAATTATTATATCTCATGTTGTATGGATTTTAAATGATAGTCCATGCATGTGTTATATTATTAAAAATCTAGTTATGGGACCTCATGTATGTACTATTTGACATGTGACATGTTAAGATTGTGGCAATTACCTGTATTTTTATCATGACGATCGTGTCTCGAAATGGCTCGGCTTCACTAGCTGGGAGTCAATTCCGATTAATTGAAGTAAGACCCACCAAGTCTAACGCGCACATGTACCTAGTAGAATTGGCACTTTCATAGTGCCTTGAGTTTACAAATTCAATTCCTAATTGGGGTAAAGCCTACTAAGACTCCTACCTGAGTACCTTAAAAAATTAGCATGCAAAGCCTATTGAGATTCCTACGTGTACTTTAAAAAATTATTACATTTTAGTACGTTTCGCACCCCATTAGATTAATACTCAACCTTTACAAAATATTTTTATTATGTATTTCTTCCAGAGATTATTTTGTTATAAATATTTGTATATTTCTTTTTCGAGTTTTTAATTGATGATCTCCTTCCCCCCTTCATATTCAAACCGACATACAAATTGCGCCTCCCCAATCTCAAAAACTCAAGCGGTTTTTATAGTCGTAGCCAATTCAAATTGTATATCTACTAAGAAGCATAAAGATCGATCAATGTTCAAATTGCAACTCATTAAGATGTCATGGACATTGTTCAAAATGTATGCCAAAATTTGGCTATTTAGACTATGTTCTTATATTAATATTAAACTCACAAATAAAAGGTTATGAACATAAATATGGACAACAAAAACTACCTTGGAATTCAGTAGTGATTTAAAAAGTTCTAAAAAGTGGTAATATATAACCTTAAAGATAGTTCCAACAATGAAACTGCAACATCCAATTCTCATTTTGATCAAATACAAAAAACTTTGAAATAAAAATTGAGGCAAATTGTCACATGAGATGATATGGTGTCTAAGATGTACAAACTTCAAACCTTGAGCAGTCCATGTTTAAGCAGAATTTAAAAGGTAGCTTCAACCTCAGGATCAGCTTCAACTGGCACAGCTGGAGTGTTCTTTCCACCTCTCAGACGTGAAGATACATTATCAATGGCAGAATTCAATTGGCCTATTTTTGCATTCAACGTCTCTCTGGTTTTCTGCTCCTCAGAAAATTAGGGTTTATTAAGATATTAAACATTGATAAGTTACAAAATCAGTTATGTCTTTTATCTTTCTAATAAGATACCGAGATTTTATTCAGAAAAAATGTAAGAGCACAAGAGCATACAAAAGAGAGCCCACAAAAGGAGGCAACCTACATGAAAGGCCTCCAATCAAACAAAATAAGACCTAAGATCTTAAGGGGTCAAAGGTCACAAGGAGACCTCTCAAGCACTCAAAAGATTCTATTGTCCCCACAGCCTCCACATGTTATTTTACATACCCCAGCTTGTCAGAAACTTTCCTCTCGCGAAAGGGAGGATGAAGGATAAACTACTTGTTCATCGTTCTATAATAACTCTGTGTAGCAAGAGCGAGACCAAACTCTACAAAGAACCGACCCCAAACATCATAAGCTAAATTGCAGCACAAAGCATGTGATCAAGACCCTAATAAATCTCTTATAAGGAATGTCCCACCAAGGTAGGAAACTACTTCCTCACCACCCTATCTAAGGTATTAACTCTACCGTGAATAACATGCCAAGCAAAAAACTTAACCTTCTTTGAGATTTTCACCTTCCACAATGAGGCAAAAACAAAATCCCCAAAGGAGAGGAGGAAGAGGGATTAATCATGCAAAGAAAAAAAGGACCTACACGAAAAACCTCCGGTCGGGCTAGGGCTCCAACAACAAGCATCCCTCCTCAAAAAATAACGGAATTCCCCCAACAATGAAAGGAGGTCGACAATGTCCATCGTTTCCCCCATATTGGACAAAGGATGATGGAAGCCCAACAAAGGCGAGGGAAAATACCTAGGATGTGATAGAAAATCGGCTATCAAATGATTATTCATCATAAATAAATGATAAAGATGAGGAAACACAAAGCAGTGGGATCTATCTCCGAACCACTTATCTTCCGACCCAAAAACTCTCTTCCATCCCCACAGAACAATGAACAAAGCAGGAAAAGGTGTACTCCTCAGCAATGTCTTTCCAGGGTTTTCTATATGTGCCTCAACCTCCATACAAGGCCCACTCAAAAGGAAATCCCATATATGCTTCTCGAGACCCTCAGTCACATACACGAGGACCCTAAAAAGAGAACAAATAAATTGGAATCTCACTCGAGACAAATTGAATTAGAGTTAGTCTAGTACCTTCCAAGAAGGAACTCATATTCCAAGATGAAAGCCTCCTATGAACCTTACCCACAACAAGGTCACAGAACCGGATAGGTCTAGGATTATGCCCAAGTGGGGGACGAAGGTTCAAGAGGAAGGAAACGAACCAACTTCACATCCAACCAAGGCAGCCCACCTACTCATCTTCTGCAGCTCACAATTCAAACCCCTCTATTAATCTTCAACCATAAATGGGTTCAAAGAAAGCTAAAAACTTATTCAGATTGAAGAACGACTCTTCATTACCTGAGCAAAAAAAGGTAGCATCATCAGCAAACTAGAGATGAGAGAGGGGCAACTTATCCTTCCCGACTTCAAAACCCTCGATAGCATTATACTCGACCCCTCACAAAAAGATCCTACTCAAAACATCCACCACGAGAAAATGAAAGTGCAAAAGAGGATTCCTGCTGAAACCCTCTTGAAGCACAAATCCTACCCTTCGGTCTCCCATTCGTAAGGATCGAGTACTTAACCAATCTAACACAACTCCAAATCCAAGATTTCTATTTATACCTAGAAACCTTCTTGGCTAGGACTTCATACAAGAAATTCTAACCCACGTGGCTATATGCCTCTTCAAAGTCAATCGTGAAGATGACCCCTTCCTAATTGTGAAATCTGTAGTTAATAATCTCATTTGCAATAAGGGCCAGACCTAAAATTTGTGTACCAGCAATAAAAGCATCCTGAGAATATGCTATTGCCAAAGGAAGCACCCTTCTCAATCTGTTAGCCAACACCTTGGCGATACACTTCTCAATTTGTTATGTCCTTAAATTTTGAATGGTAAGTCTATAGTTTCTACAGTAACTAAATGATACTGTGATGAAGAAACAAAAAGCAAGCCACTGAACATAATAAAATAACACTATGTCATACTCTCTTTTACAGACCATGAACTAAGTTAAGTAGAGATCTAATTGAAATTTTTGGAAATCTAAAGATAGAACAGACAGAACTATCAGAGTTCAAGGATTGGAATTCCAAGCCTTAACTTGTATAAAGGAAACCAAATTGTACTAAAAGAAAAATAATCTACAAAAAGAGAATATCATTATAATTACCTCTAAACCTTCATCATAGTAGATTGGACGCTTTGCCCTCTTAAAACCGTATTCATTTTCATTTAGAAGAGATCTCCTGATCTGCATTACGTGCATACAAGCAGAAGGGCAATAAATAGAATTTCCAAACTATTAAAACCACTTGACACACATTCTGAAATTTGTATGTAACAATGACATATGTGGGGCAAATAAAAAATAAGCCTTCTGAATTTGCATATAAAGATTAGAAGAACTATAAAGGAGTATAAGTGCATTCGTCCCCTCATCCATTTTCTTCTTAACTTCATGAAATCATCTAAACAGATGCATGTTTATGTGAATAATTAAAATATACCCTAGCTGAATCAGAAAAACAATGGTGATATGAAATCCAAATGTTTATGTTAAGATCTTATTTGCCAGAGATGATATGTAAGATTTTAGAACAAAACAATAAAACATTGACTTCACCTGCGGTGCGAAAACGTAAGCTAAGGTTCCAAATACAGCACCCCCAAGAAGAAACCCAGCAACAAAATCCCCACCTCCGCTTCTACCACCATCACTGTAACAAAAAAACAAACTTGTAGTTATTAGTCCAACTGTCCTTACGGAAAAAAATAAAGGAACCATTGGAAATTCATTCCAGGAGTAAATAGAAATGTGCTGCTTTTATAATGTTTCAAATGGGTCATTAAACGCATCTTCATCTAAGTAACCAAATTAAAATTTTAAGAACGTAATTCGTCTGTCTAAAAATCTAGTAGAACTATAGGAAAGAAACAATAAAGATTTACAAAGAAGTTTGATATTGTTAGAATGACGAAGTAAAGTGGACGTGTTAACCATTTTTTCCCCAGAATACCAATCCAAGAGAGATGTCAAAGTCAATATATATAAGACTAACCCATAGGCATACCAGTTAATCCTGAAATATTGGGAGTTGACTACCATTCTCGTTTCTCTCGTTTTTAACTCGCAATATACATCGAGATATTTCATGAAATTATTTTCTTTATGGCTTGAGGATGTCTTGTTAGGTTCTTAATTTGATGCTATTCTCATCAGTAGAGTTTTGCTATTCATGTGAAACAATAAGAAACTAGTAGCAAGAGCAACCAGGCAAAACAACATCCAAAGCTTGAACTTTCAAGTATCCGGAGGGAAGAACTACTACAAGGAGCAAAAAATGAATAAAATGAACCATTATTTCTATGTGTAGTAGACAATTGAAAACATAAAGTACATCGATATATGTAGTGGAATATCTCAAATGCAGAGTAGATTCTGGAAATCTCCTTTAACATCTCAAGGTGCCTTGTGTTCTTTCCATATTGTTCCTTCTATCTCTTTATGGAAAGTACAGTTTACTCCCTAAAACATAATAAAATAGTGCATGTTTGAAACAAAGGAATAGTAGATGGGGAGAAAAAAGAAAATCATTCCAATTTACTCTCTTTTTCAACCATCTAATTTGGGCCGCTGGTAAGGGAAAGGAGGAAGAAGTTCATATTTTCAACTGCAACATTTTTTTTATAAGAACTGCAACATAATTTCTTTAAAGTAAGCAAATGGTTGGTCTTGTGCTGGAGTATCTATGGAAAAGAAAGGTGGCTCTTGCCTCAGAAATAAATGAGGCATGCTTCACTAGAGATGGATCCCTCAAGGTACACAGTAGAGTTCAATTTGAAAACTGTATTCTCATTAGAACTATAGATAGGTATGACTTATAACAAACTACTATGAATGCATTAGAGTAAAAATCCTCAAGCAATGAATCCCGGGCCCACAAAAATCTCTGCTATAAAACTTATTTAGATTTTTTTGATAATTGAGTATACTACTTTCTCTTTCACTTAAGTTTTCAGAATCTTCCTTCCTTTCCTATTTTATATATTCCCTGGCCCGCTCAATCCTATACTCACCCAGCACCCCCTTTCCTGATAAGGATACATGATCAGTATTGCAACTGTATAATACTATTCTTTCGCTAACTTAAATTTTTAGTAACTAAAATCGCTCCAAAAAGTCAGCTATATCTTAAACAATTTCAGAATCATGTAACAATAGAAGTACAACATTATAAGAACAAATCCTTTTATATCTTCCTCAGTTATAATTCATGATAAAATATAGCCGTGAGACTTCAATAAGAGAAAAACATTTAAACAAAATGATGTTAATAACTTCGTTCATTGCATAAAGCAACATAACGTACTTGTACTCAGCACGTACTGATAACTTGTGGTTGGTTTTGAAGCACTTCTGAACTGAGAGTTTTGGTGCATGCCCAAAGGAAATGGACTTAGAGGAGAGATCTGAGGCCTTGATCAATCCCCCTAACCACAGAAGGAAAAAAACGATAAAAAGAACCCAAATACAACTGATTACCTTGTGAACAGAAACGACCTATGCAAAGAGAAATAGAACTAAAATTTGAAACGATCGAACTTCATAAACCAATCGAGATAACCACCTCCAATTTTCGTCCAGAAATTCACACAACAAATCCGAAAAGAACATAATTTTCTCGAGCGACAAAAAACCAACAATCAAACATTCAACAAACCACCTCGAAACTACGAAACGTCTACACAGCAACCTTTATCGAACTCAACGTAATTTAAATGCAAAAGCCATCACCGGGGGTCATGCCTAACAAAGTTTCCAGAGACATTGAATACGAAGTATTTTGCTTCATAAAAACCATCCGTTTCCAGAGCTTTTCAATGCAACCTAACAGGCGATAATTACTAGGAAAAAAATTTGGATCTACTCAATCACTCAACACAAACACACAATCATGTGAATATGCATGCGGAAAAAAATCATCGAACTTCTATGATAAAGAGAAAAGAAAAAATTTACCAGACACGGACAGCGAGGGAGAAAAGCGGGCAGCCATGTGGTTGGAAGAAGAAGGGTAGAGATCTAGAGAGAGAGGAAGAAGGAGGAGCAGGAGAAGAAAGTGTTGGAGATAATCGCCTCATTGTTCGCCTCAATTACCATTTATATAATATTTGACTTTTCCTTCCAATTTTTTCTCGAGTTAAATTGTCGATGAATTTTATGTAAATATTATGCAATTTCTAGAAAAAAAAAATTTAAAATTATTTACATTAATAAATAAATAATTTATACTTTTTAAATGCCTTATACCATATGGACGTGTGAAAATATCAATGAAAATTTAATATTATGGTGATTTTCTTTCAATACAAGTAAGATTTTAAAATTTTATATTGGCATTTCTATTATAACATAAAAGAATAAAAACAAATTTTAAAAAATATTTGTATATTAATTACAATAAATATTTTATTTTTTTAAAAAATATTTTGCCATATACCTTAAGATCGATGTTTCTATAAAAATTTCTACAAAAATGAGAATTTTGCATTTTTATTGAAAACAATGTTATTACATTAATTAACAATTTGAAATCATTTTTTTATCAAAAGCTACAGGCTTTTGATTTAGTTTTTGATGCACCAAATACGGACAAACAATTCTTAATTATTGGTACCATACTGCAACAAGGACTCGGTGTCATTATGTTAATAAAAAATTGCTAGAGGGATGTTAACAAATTGATCTACTACCAAAACGAGACTTCATAAGTTCAAGGAAACTTTATGCCGTTTCTTGAAGAAAACTTTACAAATCGTAAAGGTCTTACTAACAAGCTTTAATAACATCTAACTTAACGATTTGAAAAGTGTTTCTTCAAACTTTGCTCGACCATGTACAATTCAAAAAGGTAAATACTCTTGAATAAATAGAATGGTTGTCCTCAAACTCGAATATGAATAAAGCTTATGATTCATCGAGCAGGGGATTTCAAATATAAGCTTCTAAATCATTGGAATAGAGAGATTACGGTCGGTGATCTAGACGATCTACCCTTACCATGAATTGTATTAAATTCGAAGCTTTACGAACCCATCGCTAGTCTCCAAGAGAAATATTTTCCCAGTAAACTCGAGAAGCTGGGTCCTTAATATGATCAAAGCATATGAACAAAAGCTTAGAACATGAACTACACAGCTCAGCTCTGTCAAATCTAGTAGCAAAAGATGGAAACCTTATTAAAGGATGATCCTAATGCAGCAAATCGCCAGAGTAGTGTTAAGGTGAATATATGGGTCTCTAACACCCGCGACTGTTAACAAGCAAATATTATTTCTGTTTCCATTCTACTTATATATACAAACGGCCGCAATTCTGATCTTAAACTCAAAAGTGCTCAAATATGATGTGAATAACTAACAGCATAACCCAGAAACAGAACAAGGTGAAATAATTACTGGTATATACTTTTGAGGAGAGGAATATGAACAGATGGAAAGCGGGTTCTTGCATAAGAGAGCCCTTGAAAGATCAACTAACCTGGTATACATTTTGTCGATCGAATCCAAATTCGACAACACAAACACGAGCGTAACTACAACATCATGCCTATTTCTCTGACAAACCCCCGAAGAGAATCAGTGAAGTGTTCACATGCCGCCGATCGGGTAGAAGCTGTTCTGATTTCGTAACGGTTTTTGTCGATTGCTGCTTCTCTGGGAATGGGAACGACAAAGACAATGTTAGGGATGCAGAGTCGTCTTCTTCTTCACCATCAATCATCTTTTCTGAGGACTCACAGTGGTTATGTTTCTCATCCACTAAATCCATAAAGAAAGGGATCATACTCTTCTTTTGTAGTTTAGTCTCTGCCCCCAATGCAAGCTCAAGGTTCGGCACTGCATCATGATATCGGTCCTCAGGTTTGGATGGAAGATCTAGGTGGTGATCCTCTATTTGATGTGATTCCACAGGAAAGAAGTGCTTTTCAGCAGTTTCAAAATTTTCTGGAATAACATTCATATCACAAACTTTATCACCTCGCTTTTTCTGAAATAGAAACATGGGACCAATACCACCTGAACTACAACTATTGTCATACGAGTTACCAAAGCCCGTCTTCGTCTTTTTGCTTACATGCTCTTCATCCAGCACTATACAATCCGCCTCATCCCAAGAAGTACATTGACTAGCACCACTAGAAACTGGAGCTCTCGACTCAAATATTTCGATATGTTGGCGTTTTCTGAGATGGGAGTCTAGACAATGGATTCCTTCGGTATTTAAATCTCTTTTCAAAAGACCTTCGGAGTCTGAATTCCCTTCTACTGTCTGGAGTGTAACTTTCTCTCCTTCACAAACCAATCTATCTAAGATTTTCTCTCCAGTACTAGTCTTTTTCACGTCATCAATGGTCTTGATTAATGTTGGCATATCTTCCGCTGCACCAAAGTCCAGCTTCACGTTCTTATTATCATGAACTCCTACAATTTCTTTAACTTGAATGGATGGTTCAAATTGCTCGCCTTGTATGCTCTCTGAACGACCAGATTCCTTCTGCATAGTAGAACATCAGTGCATCTATTAATCAAAAGGGAAAAGGCGAGTTAAGAATCTAAAAGAAACAACTACACCAATTGAAAAAAGGAATGGGAAATAGAGATGTATACCACAACAACAACAACAAAAAAAAAAAAAGGAAATGACAAAGAAATAAAAAAGAATAGTGATACCAGGAATAGACTGGAGGAAAGAAAAGGGAACGAAAGAAAATAATCCAGTATTCAGTTATATTTTCTACGATCAGAAAAGAGATTCCAATTCACAAGTTGTAGCCAGATATCCAATGGACAACAATAAAACACATTCTAATCCACATTGTATTCATCTCCGAAATAAGCCCACCTAATCATCAATCAATTCACCCATATAACTGATGGGCAAACTTAGGATCACATTAGATTTTCAGTTCATCCAAGCACCTCCAAAACTTCTGCTAGAAAGCCTTCACAGTTTGCTGGTTCTGGCAGGCTAAACCAAGGTCTAGTCAAAAGAAACAAATCAACAACATAGAAAATAGCGATCTAATCTGTTAGGAGGAACTAGGATTATAAAATGAAGAACGGGTGAAATATAAGGTAATTTATAGATACTAACAAGAAGAAATTAGAAAACTTGACACATGAGCAAAAGACAAACATCATCCCAGTTAATCATTATACAACAAAAGACTCATAAAAGTTTAGCGAAGGCAAGTTCCAAAAATTTTAATCTCGACTCAGTTCCATGAAATAATTCAAAATAATATCTACTGTTAGTTTCCATCACCACAAGTAACAAAATGGAAATGGCACATAATATCAATTATATCAACATTATAAAAACAAAACAAAAAATTACTAAAAGAGAGAACTTTCATATATTCTTGTTGCTTTTGTGAAAAAAATCATTAATTAAACCCAAAATTATTAATTTACAAACTAAAAAAATTTAACCACGCAGGAAAAAATAAAAATAATTAATAGATAAACAAAAGTGGGAGTTTTCCAATCACTCACCTTGCTACTCGAAATTTAAAGACAAAATGGGAATTTTGTCCATTTCATTTTGGGACTGGGGGAATTCAGTATCCTAATTTTAGCCTGTACTTATAGGATTGGTGAAATGGTGTGGGGAAAATGAAAGGATTCGGCTTCAAATTATTGAAAACATTCAAACTTGTGAAGGAGAACATTAGATGTTAAAGCAAAGCAGTTGGGAATCTAGGGGATAAAAGGGTGGTAAAGCAGCACCGTGGACCTGGATATTAAAGAGAAACCTGTAAGATTTGACAAAAAAGGAAAGTAATCTAATGATGCAGTTGGAGAAAGACAATATAATCAAAGCTTTCACGAGCAGTATATACTGGTTCAAAGAAGCAGGATGTTCACTCGTACTTCAGTGCAGGCACTTGGGAACTCTAAAGTTCCAGGTCCAGATGGAAGTTTGGCTGATTGCCTTAGAAAATTCTAAAACATGTTTAAAATATGCTTTCTTAGAGATGCTCCAGGACTTCTTTTTTTTTTTTTTTTTGGGGGGGGGGGGGGGGGGGGAAGNCGTAATATGGTCAATTGGGAGTTTTCTGTTGGCAGTGATGAAAAGGTATGGATTCATGAGTAGATGGCTTTAAATGGATAAGAGGATAGACAATGGATACCAGATTCTTGGGTTTCATCAACGAGAAGCCTAGAGGGTGATTTGAGCATCTAGGGTCTTGAGGAAGGAAAGAAGATCCTTTGTGTTAGCAGGGGCCGAGTCAAATGATCAATTGGGCAATTGAGAAACGTAACCTCAAGAGGTTCAAGGTGAAGAAAAAGCTCATTTTATCTCATCTTCAATTTTCCATCAATGTATCCTTGATCCTTTTGACAGAGTCAAAAAGTTGGTTGAAGAAAGGGGATGTGCAGCTTGCGAAATTCCTTTACCCTACATATTTAGGTGTACCTCATGAGAGAACCTAGAAGGAAGTAGAGGGAAGGATGCTAAGAAGATGGGAGTTATGGAAAAGGTTATGCTTGTCTAAACCAATTTTGAACCATGCCAGAATTTCCAGCCTAGCAGCCAATATGATGCCGATTTTCCTACACCAAGAGAGATTGCTCAAAACAGGAAGAGGAAGATGCGATCCTTTGTATGGGAAGGAAACACCATTGAGCCATTTAGGGAACTGGGAAACAACTTTGTTGCAAATTGAAATTGGTGGATTAGGTGAAAGGAATGTAAAAAAGACGAAAGATGAAAGATGCGTAGCTCACAAGATGGATTAGGAAGTTCTAAAGAGAAGAAAAGTGGTACCAAATCATTATATCGAGAAACCAACGTATTGGTATCTTAACAAATGAAAATCTGGTTGTCAGAAAACTCCTTGGAGGAACCTGATTAATTTTTGGAGGTTTCTGTTTGTTTACTTTGGACTTTTGTAATTATTATTAAATTTGCTTTAAGAAAGTAATAATCGAATTCAATTGAAATAATAGAAATGCCTGACTGGTAAGCCGTAATAACATATACAATTAATAGATATTTTTTTGTAACAACGGCATAATTAATATTATAAGACAGACGAAAAATAATATCCTAATCAACTAACTATTACCGTGGCAACCAAGCATTAGCTCTACAAGTAGTGTGTGTATATATATATTTAAAATAAACTATATGTTACTGCAGGTGACACATTAATGAAATGGACTGCTTTAAGCTACTTCTACAAACTCGAGGTTAAATGTCCATTTTTTCAACCTACTGATGTCCAATAGATGCAATACAGAAAAACTCCATGACTAAAAGTGTAATAAAAAGTAAGTTGGTAGTCATGCATTTAAGAAGAACATCCAATTGACAAATTCAACAGCCTACGTGTGTATGCAAGCATTGGTAATGATTGTAGATTAAAAATACCATCAAGAACAACAGTTAAACAGAAAAAAAGAAGGGAGACAAGGGTAATGACGACCATAGCAGGTGTGTGGCATCATTGCATGATTGTTGACTGCTATGCTAAGTTTGTGTGTGCATGACTATCCATATACTTGAGAGAGAGAAACATTTCACTTGCACAAAGCTATATGAAAAAATATCCAAAAAGAAACATTACCATGGGGGCAGAGCTAGCGGATCCTTGACAAAATTCCATACTAGTAGATAACAATGGCGATGCTTTTGGTACGACAAACTGATCAACCTGATGGCCTGAATTTTCTAGGGAATTTAATTGTGTCTGGTGAACAGAAGTTTCACATTTGTGACCATCAGCGCGAGTTGCGTCAGAAGTTTGGCCGGCCAAACTGGATGCTTTGCCTGATTTGGGACTATTACAAACAAATATTTCTTCATCTACATACTTGGCCGAACAAAAATCATCAGTCTTTGTGGCTGTCGTATCAGGGAAGTTCTTGTCTAAAGGCACGGCTTCTGTACTAGGGATATTTGAAGTCTTCAATGCATCTGAACAATTTACTTTCTTCCCCCTAAACACACCCCATAGGAAAAACAGCATATTCCAATCTGCAGGAAGAGGGGGCATAAGGAGAGAGAGATTGAAACATATTATCAATATACAAGCTCATACAAAGAAGTTCAAAAATTACAAACATGCAACGAAAACGATAATTTCTAAAAAGATAACTACCAAAACATGAAGTGTGCATCTAAGACAATACTAGGAAAATAAAGAAACCAGTAAAATACAACTCCATCCTTTCATTGTTTTAAACATTCCAAATAGAATTATAAACCATGGACCATATAGATCAAATCGAGTTAAGCTGGTTTGTATATACGGTGAGCTTTCTAGAGATAATAATGTTAAGCTATATTATATAATGATCATCTTCATTTTATATTAAAATTGACGTTACCTTTTTCTAAACGTTTTCAAATTAAGGATCAGTTCAACTCCACTAAAACTAGTTTTGTTACTTCACTCTATTAAGGATTTTGGCCATCTGACAACTGCTCAAATGTGGAATGGCAAGAAAAGAGATTGACCTATAAGTAACCTAGGAGTGATGCTAGGTGGAATTTCAAAAACTCAGATTTGCCTCACATTTCGAGATATTGTACTTGACTAGCAGTAAAAGGTTCCATCACCTCAAGAAGAGGCTCGCTAATTCGGTGTAAGAAACCCTTTCAGACCCACTTACTTGCTCTCTGCTTTTCCAATTTCAAATGCTAGAGAAAAAGAATAGATAGATATTTCTAGGGTTTCTCCTCTTCTCTCAGCCTCCTTACTTCATCTACTCGTTCATCTACTCTTCATCAAGGTGCTTTCTATGTGCATTGCTGTTTGCTGCATTTTCACCAGAGTCATAACTGCACTGTGCTAAGTGAATACTTCTTTTAGAGAACTCCATTAGGACTTTCCTTCGGCAATTCTTCTCTCCATTTCCCACCAGACCATATTCCTACGGCTTTCAATCTCTGACTTCAGATCTCCTACTCCCTGTTATCTTAAATCCAAACGACGTGCTTCTCTGCCATTGTGTTAGTGCAGTTTCAGCTAATCAAAATTTATCCATATGTATATTGTCTGTGTTCCACTCTAAGGTTGGTTACATTGTATACGTTTTTGGTAAATAATAGACATATTCTCACACATTCTCAATAATAGAGATTTTTTTTTTCTTTTCTGCCACATCAGCATCATAATTAGTATTTTTTTTTTTAGGTAACTAGTGGTCTTGTTAACTCAGGAACTAAAAGGAAGCCTCACTGAAACCATAGAGGGGAAGTATATGATTTAGAACCTTAGAAACCAAAAGGAAACTAAACTCAAGATTACAGAACCAAAAGGGTTATTTTTCCCAAGAATTCTTGAATATTTACGCCATAGAACCATAGTGGTTTGACCTACTGGTGATTGAAGCAAGATAAGAAAGTTCTTTTTGCTATATTTTATAGAAAGAATAAAAATTGATGCTGCAGTCTGCACTACGGCTTCTTGGTGCAAATACTCTTCCATATTTCATCATTATATTTATAACTTATCCTCTTCATTATCTAGTTGGGGAACTTTTTTATACCTCGCTTGGATTGGGGTCCTTCCCCTCTGGTTCATAATATCAATGAAATTGTCTCTTTTCAAGGAAAAAGAAGGGAAGTTTATGGAAGAGAAATTGTTCAAACTTCAGGGTGACCACTGACCACCTAGGATGTTAATGACAAGTGATTCCTAAATGTGATACAATCAAATAGATTGATCCATGAAGTTAGTCAGGTTGTGTGTGGTTTAAATACTCATGATAAAATATATATAAATATAGATATATAGATATAGCTATAGATATAGCTATAGATATAGATATAGATATAGATACTCTGCAACATTTTTCTTAATACAAAATAAACTTGTATTAAAATGAATGAAAGAGCAAGGAAGACATGCAAAAACAAAGGCAAAAAATGAATAAAAGAGCCTCGAGAACCTAATATACAATCATTATAAAAATTCTAAAGGGTTACAAGCCTCTAGTTAATTTTAAGGATTAAGAATTCTTGTTTTGAGGGAGCAGGGAAGGGTTTAGGGTTTATCACCAAAAAAGTGCCCGAGGACTTCAGTAACAACAAACAAATAATCTGGGAAAAGCTCCTCCAGACATCTCAATGAAAGAGAACTCGAAAGAATGTGATGCAAACTCTTCTAGACCTGCTTTCACATACATGATACACCTCTATGGTCCAATAATTACAGAGAGAAGACCTCTCGATGAAGTTGATGATGCCAATACTAGCATAATAACAAGCTAAAAGAAATATCTACCCTATATTCTTTCGGATTTTGAACTTCAAAGCCTGACAAAGAAAGGGGTAAAAAAGTGAGAGAGGGAAGCTCGAAAGTGACAGAAAAACAATTACATGAGAAAGTTCCTAAGGACTCAAGAGACAAACATCTATTCTTATGTCCATAAAAAGGCATAGTCCATGATAAGAAAGAGAAGGAAGAGCATATTAATAATCTCCCTTGGATCAAGATTCTTGCATCCTGGAAGTTATGAAATCTCCCCAAAGTAAAGCACAAAGGCAATACTGACAATTTAACCAAATAAAGATTATAAAGTTGAAGGACAAAAGAAGAAGAATAAGGCCATGTTCCATCCAATGGTCTCCTTTGGTGAGCTCTCTTTTTGTTTACCTTTGTACATTCTTTTATTGAAAATGTTCATTGAGAAAGCTCGGTTTCTTATAAAAATAAAAAATAAACAAAGGTAAAATGTCCTAACCAATCTTCCAATCCAAATCGTCTCGTCAAATTAATGTCCATATTCACTTAAAATGATTCAAATGGAAAATGCCCTAGCCACTCGGGTGCAGGGGGAAGGTGGGGATTTAATTGATCAATGCAATAGAGGCTTTGGCTTGGGAAATATGGATAGAGAGGAACTATCAAACCTGAAATGAAACAGAATGTGATTGGGAGGAAGTCTCCGATGTGCTCAAGATACCATATTCTTCTTAGGTTACCATTTTCTATCCTTTATCGTCTTTTTCTGTTCTCCAATATTAAAAAAGCTGGTTTAGGTATCAACCACTACATCAAATCCTATTTTTCCCAAATTATAAAATACAAAAACAGACCTACACCTTAAAGTTCTCACTCTGTATAAATCGGGGCGTTGAACAAGAAGGTTCCATAGGAGGAAGAAGGCACACCATGAGATGTTAGAGATAAACAAAATGTCATCCACAAGCAATTGAAGAAAACATAACACACAAAATAATAAACCAAACATTCCTTCTCTAATTTATACACATCTATGAGGATTCATATAATAAGTAGAAAACCTCTTCTAGATATTTTCAAACATCATGTAAGAAGGACAACTTGGGGACAATCTGACAAACAATTTCAAATACCAATTGGATAAGAAGCCACTTATTTTTAAATGATAAAGAACTCAATGAATTCTTACGTTGTGAATTTTCAGGGAGCTGATTTGAAGGGAATATCAAGAGCTCAACACCATCAAGGTTTCCTTTGAGTGCTAAATCATTCTTGATCATATGATCCAGTACATTTCTGTAATTTCTCTCATAACTAGAATCACAAAAAATACGGTCAAAAGAAAGATCAGAGACTTGCATGAAAGCCAAAGGAAAGATTAAGAATGGAAAATGTTGAAAGTGACACCTGTGAATATCGCTTGCAAAAAAGTACAGAGCAATATTATCTTCTTTAACACCACAGTCATGAAATTGAGAGGGCCATGTGCTCAAGCGAGGTACTTCTTTCAAAGAAATATTGTGGGGAAGTCTGTTTGCCACTTCAATAACTTTTGGTGATGCACAAGTTGACAGATGAGCCTGAATTCCATCACAAAAATCTGGAAGTTTCCCACCGCTATGCAACTCAAAACCACCCCTTCAAGAAAGCAACAAAAGGTATTTTCAATGATTCGCAGTAGATGATAAAATCTATAGTAGTATGCTTTTAAAGAAAGAGACTGAAACAAATCAACCAAAATCAATGAGGAAACTCAAATGAGAATCTTACTGCCATATATATTCATACTCCGGTATCACTGACATCTTCAGCAAAAGTGAGGTTGTTGAACCACGACCCAACAACTCTTTCATCCTATCCTTTTCAACAGGAATGGTAGTTGAAACTGTATCCTCCAATTTTGAAGGAACAGGAGCCTCAAGATTGAGCACGACAGGTGGCTTAGAAATACTTGCAGCTGGTTGCCTATGAAAGCTAGTAGCAGAACTAGTGACAGTTGCCTTCCCTTCGTATGCTCTTTCAGCAGAAATCTCATTTTTTAACTTGTTTGAAACTGGAAATTGATCTTGATGCACTATATCACTATTTGAAACCGTGCTTGATGAGGAAACTTCATCAGATTGGTCACTAAATTTTCTCCTTTTATATATTTCAGGTCTTCTAAGCAATGCTGCTTGAATTGCGGCCTTCAACTTGTTCTCCTCACATGTCTCCTCTCTAGAGCTACTTGTATTATTATCAGCAACATAAGGACTACCACTAATACAAGAATCTGTAGCATGTTCAGTTCCTTTACATTTTTGACACTGACCACTTTTTGGACTAGTAGCAACAGTAGGCTTCGATAAATTTGCAGAACTCTCCCTATTCTTCTCATCTTGTCCTATCATTTCTCGTGACCTTCCATTATCACTATAAGACGGCCTCTCAACAGTTAGGGAACTGGATAATGGCTCCTCCTTGGGGCTAACATGATTTATCTTTTGATCAACAGAACTGCAAATTCCATTAGTGGATAGGACCCTAACTGTAAAAAAACAAATGAAAATATTAACTAATGCCATTAGCGAAAAACATGCTTGTAAAACTTACAAAACTAGAAATTAGTGAGTAAGAGCATCAGGCCCAAAGAAGCAAAGATGATATTAATTCTATCCACCCATCAGAAACATCATACCTGGACTGAGTGGATTATCTACACCCTTATGAACTAGACTGCTTCTCAATTTGGAGTGAGTACTTGAGACTCCATCAGACTGCATAACTTTTTGATCTCGATTGTTGCTTACAGATGACAAATTGGTTTCATCACGCAATGAGAGCTTTTGATCAACCATCGATGTTGAAACAGAACTTGTTGTAACTGAACTAATCCAGGAACGATCTACTTTTGGTGGATTTTTCCTTTCTAATATACTCCTGTCCTTCACTTGTTTTATACCTTTAGGATCCTGGCCATGAGGAAACTTAGACAGTAGCATTTTAACTTTTGATTCACCCATGACTACACGTCCAGAATTTGGAGTTTTAAATGATTGAGATTTTCCTAAAGCTCTGACAGGCCCCTCCTTGACTTCAAGGAAGGTATGTTCTCTAGCACCCCTTGGCTTTTGGGGTATAAACTCATCAACAAGTTTGACCTTCGGTTTGGAATTTAAGGTGTTGAATGAATTAGACTTTAAAAGAGAACCTGTATGTTGAAACCAATAGGCAAATGCATAAACAATAAAAAATCTGCACAAACATGAGGTGAAAATGTTGAAACTAAAAAACGGACATATACAGTTGCTTATTTACCCTTGAGTGTCTGAAGTCTTGAACCAACAGATGGTGAGCGAGCCATTTCTGAAAGATCACTACTACATTGATCACCCAAACTCTTTGGTTGAGAAAAAGTCAGTTTCCCTTTATCTAAGCTTTTTGATGAAAAATCACGGGATAATCCAATACTCCTGCCAGGGCTGGATGCTTTTGTTGAACCTTTGTTAGTTTCAAGGACCTGTCTTTTTGCAGCTACAGATACATCAACATTTTCTACGTTCTTCTTGCCAAAGTTTCTCATACTTGAGCTATCTCTGCTTACTCCTTTTACCTCAGCATCTAAGCATTCAGTGTGGCAATAAAATAAAAGTTGTTAACAAAAATGTCCTTAAAATTGACATCTAATTTTCAGCATTTCTCTTACCAGAAACTCGGGTACTTGGACTGACGACGTTTGTCCTTCTCCCTTCATCTTTTTTTTTATAGGAAAGGTTGCCATTCCCTTCAACATCTGAAAATTAATTGCACTATGAGATCATAATATGCTCCTAAAACATGGGCAAATTCTATGTTCCCTTTTCTTCTTAGTTATTACAGCTCCATAAACATAAATTACAAGGTCACCTTGCTTCTGGATTTCCTTTTCTTCCGCAGACTTGCATTCTTCACACAGCCAGTCACCTTCAGGAACTTTATCAAGCCTTTCTCGCATGCAATAGCTGATACAAAGGAGTTGTTAGTACACTTCATCTTTGGTTTTACAAGAGTAAAAGCAATTAATGATACAAAAGTATGCCAAAGTATAATTGAAATGAAAGGGCCACGTCCTTACGTGTGTTCTGCACCATCAGCGCACTTACTACATATAGCAAGCAAATCCTCACGACCAGCATCACCACAAATATCACAAACTTTGACCTGATTACCAATGGAAGTAAGAGAACAGCCAGAGTTCAAAATCAAACTAAAACACTTCAGGTAAAGCAAATAAAAGAATTTATGCAGTAAAACTTCTCAATAATACACAAAGTAATCGTAAGAAACACCGTGAGAGAGAATTCCAACAGCACCTGCACAAGCAGCCTTTCCCTGTACAAATCTATCCTAATATGTTACGGGCTTGGTCACATGATGACATCGACTAAGTTACTAACCCAATCCAATGTTTACTTATATGGGGTCACCAATTAACCTTCAAGGCAAGAACCAGAGAAAAAACAAACCAAAAGGAGAGATAATTCAGACAGAAACTACAAAACACAATCAATCAGGAACAATGTAGTATCAATTTTCTCCATGTATATTTCGACTCAGAAGACTTGAACCAGAATCCAATCATATCTCGACTCTAAATCATAATCTTAGGGACCAATACTGCATGAAAAACATTTATTACCAACTGACCCATACATTGTGAAATGAACCAACCAACAAAAGGCTAGAATAGATGAAAGATAAAAGGAAAAGAATTGTAGAGTTGCAAGTTCCATAGAGGAAATAAAAGGGGCTGCTTAAAAATAAAGAATTTAATCCAACTCACATCATGCTCTACAATATCCGATTCATCACTCTCTGATCCAGATGCAGACTGCAAATAGGGCTCCTTCACATCAGATTTCCCAGACAAGTCCCTGAAATTTTCATCTTGCTCATCTTCATGCTGATTTTTCACGTCTTCATCAGGAGGCTCATTTCTATCATCATGAATCTCTTTTTCTGACTTCAGTAAAATTTGTGAAGGAACCTTGGAATCATCACAAACCTTGTTGCATGTGTTGGTAACAGATTTTTCCCCATGAGGTGGAACACTAACGGCTTCTCTAGTCAAAGAGTCATTATGCACCATAGATGATTCTAATGGTTCTTCCTTCACACAAGTGGATGAATTCTGTTCAAAACCCATTTCAGATAATGGTTTACCACTTGGAGAAAGAGAGTGTAGAGCACGTTCGTCCGTAGAGCTGTTGTGAACCTCTTTAGAAGCAGGAATCTCTGAAAAAGCTAATTTGGAGGAAAATACTACCTTATCTGATCCTTCTCGACATAAACTACCCACTGAAGCAGATCCATGTGATAATTTTTTATTGTCCATAATCTTCTGGTGAGAAACCACTGCCATATTTGCATTACTAGATCCACTAATGCATGAAGTGTTGTCATCATGGCCCTCTGCACCGATACTCTCATGCTTCTCCAAAACGGTTTGAACGGATGACTCAGAAGCAATATGTCCCTCTGCAACTATTCCACTATATAACTGTTTACGCATATCAACGTCTACTGAAGTGTCATCCCAATTAGATGACCTTATAGTTGCCGTACTATCAGCATTTTCGGAAAAGGAATCGTGACCAGAGCTAACACTAAGTAGTGAGCTTGCACATGCTCTACTCTTTACGGAGGATATAGCATCAGCACCATTAGCAGAATACTGACTTGTAAAGTTAACATGACTGGTTTCATCAGAAAATTCTTCAGTCTTTGAAACTGTGTGTGCTCGTTGAAGATGCATACAAGATGAACAAGGTGCAGAGCACACATTACAAGTTCCAGACTCGCCTCTCATATGAACTGGCTGATTCATGAAGCAGTTGGTAAAGTTTTTACTTGACTGAGGTGGTACCTAAAAAGATGAAGTAAGATTAGCTATATAGAACGTACTCATTTCCTCTCTTTTTTAGCAACTGTCGAACTAAATAAAAATATACAGACAATCACCCTACCACATTGCTCGAATGGGAAATGAAAATCAATATAACAAATCACCAAAATCCAGTATACCAAGGAATTAAATACCCAAAATGTGAACTTAGTGGCTAAGCTATAAAATTGACTTTCCATAAACCGTTGATATTCAATGCCATTGGAATGTTCTACATTTTCCACAATAAAAATAAAACATAAAAGAGTACTATGCCATTAGAGATTAAGATATGCACTGGCAAAAGAAATTTATATTAATTAAGAACCATAAAATGCAAATTACCCGGTTATCTCACCATATGTCTCTGTATTTCATTGTCAGCCTTCTCAATAGACCCTTGTGTTCGACAACTTTGTCTTAGATCTGGTGTAATCTAAAAAGCAAGCAGAAACGACATTAATAACCATTCTAATACATTCAGAAAAAACCAAAAAAAAAAAGAAAACCACCGCACAAAGAAACTGGAATCGACATCATTGCACGGATACCAGTGAAAACAAGCAATAACCTCTCTTAAAAGCGGCAGCAAAAAGAATTATACAACAATAACTGCAAAATATCCAGCAGACACAGAGACGTACAAACCCAGAAAAAAAAAACGAGAAACATTCGGTTGGCCAAAAAGAACCCTAATTCTGAAAGCACACATAAAAAAGCCAATCCCATAGCACCCAGACAGACTATTATCGCAGAAATTGAAGAAAGCAAGCAACCAATCCATTCCAAACCCAAGAAATACCAAACAAAAATCCAATGAAACTCCCAAAAAGAACAAGAATCAAAACAACCCAAATCAAAAACCAAAAAGAGAACCCAAAATTGAAAACGATTGCATGCCTCCAACTCAGAAACCGGCTCCACATCATCGTATAGCACGTCGAAAGCCCGCTCCTTCCTCTTCGCCGCCATGACCAACACGATCGGTAGCAACTGATGATAAGAATCCTAATCACCAAACGCAGCCAAACAACCCAGTGTCCTCCTTGAGTGGTAATCGAAGAAATTGTAGAGTAGATTTATGTAAAATTATACAGAATATAAATGGTAATCGTACAATTACACAGATAAACAAACACCTCCAGACGAGAAAGAGCAGGTTGAGGATCTGGTAACTAATAGTAAAACCAAAGAAGATTAAAATGAAATGTAATTATCTCACTAATTTTCCTCCTCTCATTCAGCTCTAAAATTCGTGAAAATCCAATCGAACTGTTCCCCCTTTCTTTCTTTCTTTCTCTCTCTATCTTCTTTCCCGAATTTTCTCTCCTACATTTTCCCGAGAAAATGAGTAAATGGGAAACGCATTCAATTTTATTTAAAGGCCATTATATATTCTTCGCATTTATTAATAAATCAATGTTATTTATTCAAATTTTTATTTTCACTAAAATAAAATAAAATAAAATATTTATTTCTTTATTTTTAAATATTAACTTAAAATTTATAATTCCATTCAAAAATATGTTTTAAAAAATTATTAGACAAATAATAATAAATATAAATCAATTTTTTCTAAAAAAAATTAATAATAAATTGAGATTATTCAAATTTTCTCCCCGCGGAATATAAATAAGTTGATAATCGATTTAAACTAATTTTTTATTTTAATTTTTTATTTAATTAATATGATATATTATAGCATAATTAGTTCAAATTATCATTTTAGAAGTAGATAAGTAATTTTTAAAAAAATTAATACTTATTAAATTTATTTGGAAAAACTATTCATTAATACTAATCTCAATATAATAAAGCATTTCTAAGTAAACTAAAAAAAATTAATTATTTTAATCATTTTTCCTTATATAAATTATTAATTAGTTTAAGATTATTTAAAATGGAGTACACGTGCGAGGAATAAACCCGTGTGAAGTAGGTTGGAAATAATGGCACGTGACAGGCATGTGGATTTCGTTTAAGAGAGCATTGGGCTACCATGGGCCCGTGGGCCCGGATTGGCTCACATTTTTGGACCGTTGATACAGATACTTTTTTTATTATTTTATTTTTTAATTTAAAGATAAAAACGGAGGTTTTTTTGTGTGCTTTCGATCAATGGGAGAACGACACGTGTTGTTTCGATGGAAGCACATATCTTCCCGTTTTGTGATTGGCACGCTTAAAAGTGACAGCTAAGTAATTGTATTTTTCCCCTTCTTTGGAGGAGAGAGAATCCTATAAGAAATGGAAATTAATGGAAATTGGACTTTGATACTTAATATGGCTAAGTCATAAAGTATGACATTTTTTTTTTTTTTTTGGGAAGAATACATCATAGTTTTGAATGATCTTTTTTTTTAATTGTTATTATTTGGTTTTTTTTTAATATTCTAAAGAAATATTATATAGTTTTTTAAGAATAAATTGAAAAAAACCAACTTTTTATGTAATGCTCCCGACCCTCCGCTAGCAGATTTTGTCTTCTTTAGGTTTTCCCTTTCAGGTTTTCCCTCACGGTTTTAAAATGGTATCAGAGCTTGACATCTGATGATGTGGCAGCCTTCTTGCTGTTCCCCGAAGGGGTAGACACAAGACAATGTGCCAGTAACGATGTTGGCCCCAAAGATGGTGGATTTGGTGGGGTCCCACATCGATTAGAGAAAGAAACGAGTGTCAGCAAGGAGGGTGGATTGTGATGTCCCACATTGGTTGGGAAGGAGAACAAAACATCCTTTGTATGGGTGTGTAAACCTTTCCCTAGTACACACGTTTTAAAACTTTGAAGGGAAACCTGAAAGGGAAAGCCAAAAGAGAACAATATCTCGCGTTATGTTGAGCGATAGTAACATTTTTCTCCATATTAAAATATTTAATTTGTTTTGCTCGATGTTTGGTTCCATAGAGGTCCCCTCCTTCAAAGAGTCATTTTAATGTACCTAATTCATTGAAAGTTATGGTTTTATACTTTTTATACTTATATAGTTCGTGGAGGTGATCGTGTGCTTATTACTTAATTGACCTTATTAGAGATTTTTTATAAAATGCTCTTCGTGCGACCTTATGTAAGTAGAGAGGACTTGGCGGCTTAAAGTCTTACTTAGAGAGTGCTATGTTCAAGTAGGAACCTGGTGTCTTGATATCATCTTTTTATTGTGCGACGGAAAATTCGAGATAAACTCTATATGAGAGATCATATGAGTAATTGAGATAAGACTTTATCAGCGGTTTGAATGTTATTCTCAAATGTGATGGAATCTTGAGCTTATCTATTTTTTCGAGTATCGTTTGGATAGTGTTGATTGGTGTGGTATGATCAGTTGGGTGAGCTTCTTTTATATGATTTGGTATTAAACCATAGAGATAGATTGGTTATATCAAATTACTCGTGATCGTTATCTACGTCGTCATGTATGACATCTAGGGTTTCGACTATTTCTCATGATTGACAAAGAGTGCAATCAAAAGATCTTGTTCACTTGTCATGCACATTAGGTTTTATAGGCACCGAGAGTTATGTATACTGTAATAGCTCGGTTAAGAGGAAAAAGATCAGACATTCATTGAAAAGCGTGCACATTCCAACGACTTGCTGGAATTCTTGCATAATATTAACTTCCCACCTCCGTTTCACATGTCATCACTCTCATCGGCTCCTAGTTGATTTCTTCAACTTGGGTTAGTTGTAGACGGCTCGTTGACTCGTTTTACAAGTGTTGGACGATCTCAAAACGATTTCTAACATAATTAAGGATAGAAATATCAACATAGCTAATGTTTTGGGAATTAATAATATTTAACATTGTTTAAGATTGATTTTACGATAATTTAGTATGTAGACTCCATGAATAGACTCTAAGCTCGATTTTCTGAATGAATGAAAATCGTAAGTGAAATTGAATCACGTGAAACTGAACGTACGTTCCGTCAAGGCAAGCTTAAGAGCATTGAGTTGAACCTGAAATAGCAAGTGGACTCACTAATGAAATGTATCGTATATGTACGTTTCTTTTTTATGTGTCATGCTTCCATGCATGTAAATCTCGTGACATAATGATATGACTATGTGTATGACTCCCAAGGCACCAAGAATTCAAATGTATTATGAAGTATGACTAAAATGTTAAAATTATACTTGTTAGTCTCATAAAGAAAGTATGTCATGATATTACGGGCGTATTTTACGTATCATCTTACGAAACCGTGATTTTAATGCAGACCTCATGTTTGTTATGACATTGAGCATGAATTACTTCTCCTCATATGTTTGTATGGATACGTACTTATAAAAATATTTCGGATCCTATTCCATCCTGTGGTTTAGCTGCACGAGAGTGCATAAACCTATATACGAGCATAAGGTTTACGAAAGTAGGGTATTCACCTAGTAGGTCCATGTGTATGTATACGAGCGATGTGTAGAGAAATACCATGCATACAACACTTTTAAGAATGAAATGAACCCAAGACTTTAGACATGATGTTATGTCTCATTAAAATATGAAACTATAGTTTCATGCATTTGTCTTTCTCGACCCAACATAAGGGTCACTTACTAATTGTTTTTAAATACTCATCCTATTACCATTAACCATTTTTCAAGTATACACAAGGAACTCATGTATGGATGATGACAACGTCTATGCTATCTCACCTTGCGACCTTTTTATTTGATTTTTGTTCTTACTTTGCTTAGCTTGTGAGATTTCGTCCGTTCATGGTGATCAATTGATTGCCCATGTGTCTCGTATGTGAGATTTTTTGTTCTTCTTGTGGATGTCTTGATCTCGGACTACGAGATCCTCATGTGTGATATAAAAAAATGATCAAAACTCAAACAAAAATCATTCTTATTGAAAACAAAAATTAACGAAATATTATATCTTTAATGTAAGATTGACAAATTAATTGTTCGAGATTTTCGATCTTGAATGAACCCAAATAAAAATAAAATGAGATAACTTCTTAAACGAATTAGAAGGTACGATAAGTGAATAAGTAGTAATAATAATAATAATGAAGGGATTTTCACTTTTTGGCCATTGCTCATAAAGGTGGCAAAATAATGGAGCTTTGATTTTTTATTACTTTTTTTAATTTGACAATAAATGAAAGCAAATAATTTTGTGTAGATGAAACGATAATAATAGCTGCATTAATTATTTTCTTCCATAATATTAATTATTTTCTTCCATAATATTAATTATTTTCTTCCATAATATTAATTAATATTAATGGGCAGTAAACTCCACAACCCATTTTTCCAAATACATGAAACTTAATCCTTACTTTACCTTTATTCTACATTTTTTCATTTATTATTATTATTATTATTATTATTACTTGGTGAGTGAATTTATTATTATTATTATTATTATTATTAGCCAATTTAAAATGCTTTAAAGAAATATTATTTACAATTAATCTCTTACTTATTTTTAAAAATATATAGGCAAGATTTTTTAAAAGAAAAAAAATTATTTATTGTTTTTAATTATTCTCCTAACCTTTTCTTTTCTTGGAAATTAATTTAACAATTATCAACGTAATAAATAAATAGTAAACTTTTTATTTTGTGGAAATTGACGCATATTTGATCTATTGCTTTATTTATGAAAAAAAATAGTAAAAAATAAAAGTATATTATGATAGATGATAACGTTTCTACTTTTTCGGCGAGGTTTTGAGTTTAAATAAATTCACTCCAACGTCAAAAGATGGAGTGAAGGATGTCGCTTATTCTACGAGGCCTCGAGTTCAAAGCTCCCACCTTTTGAAGGGTCACTCATTTATTTAATTGTCCACCTTTATTTCCTATCATTTAACTATCATCTCGAGTTAAATCTGTTGATAGTGTTTGAGCATATTAGTTAACACGATATAAAATCACAAATTTAAAGTTCATGCAAAGTAACTGTGAGATCCTATATCAATTGGAGAGGAGAACGAAACATTACTTAATAAGGGTATGAAAACATTTCTGCAGCAGATGCATTTTAAAAATTTTGAAGGTGAGTCTGCTTTAACTGGTACAGTAAGTAAACAAAAATGCAACAAATCTACCTTTTAAAAGAAATACTATTTACGAAAGTACTGCGTTCTTACGTTTCATAACGTTTCTTGTGAAACGTAAATATAATTATGGTCTAAAACTTCTTTAAAGAATACCGAAAAAAGGACTTCATGGAATAATTCGCACAGAAAAATAGTACCACCAAATAAAGCATACAAATCCTTTTATGAAAGATCCTCTCCAAGGTATCCTCTTTTAATAAAGTCGCCAACTCCTTCCAAAAGTTAGTCCAAAAGGCCAGAAGGCCTACAAACCTAAGCTTCCTTCCAAGTTCTTTAC